TAAATATGGAACAGACGAGGCGGTCTCATTGATTGTGCTTTATTTCTAGTTTAGGTGGGTAAATCAGTGGACCGTTATTGAACGATATCAGATCATCGATATACCTGTAGCTTAAGTTAAACTTCTGGTCCAAATTGCTTTGTACTCCGGAGACCCCACCATCCTAATGAATTGTTTGTTTGTTTGAATGCTGTTTAAAGCCGCACTAACCAATATTCCACATACATGCACATGAATGCTGCTCGTACATAATAATGAGTGAGTGAGTGAGTTGGGTTTAACGCCGCTTTCAACAGTATTCCAGTCACATCGTGGCGTGGCGGCTTAATGTGGGAGGAAAGCCCGAGGTGATGCAGGTCTCAGACGTTTACCACTTCGGTGAAACCCACGAGCAGGGGTATGGTGCTGACAAACCTAGAAACATAATCGGGGCGAACTGGGATTCGAACCCACAATCATAGGTTTCTGGCGATGGGATGGGATGGCGAAAAATGTCGACAATATGATGATCGTTTGTTAAACAATTTTTTTTATCGGGTGTCCAAAACTGTAAGACAAACCATCAGGGTGGTCTGTCCAATTCATGTCGCTGTGCACATTTTGGTTTTGTTGCAATTATTAGATTCTGAGTTAGTGAGCAATTCATCGGTCTGAGATGGAATCAAACGGACTGTAACTGTGATCTACCCGTGTACCTATGGCTCCCCACACCATGACATTCCCTTCACCAAATCGGTCCACCAGTCGAACGCAGTTCGGCGCAAAAAGTTTATGTCGACGTCGGTATACACGTTGTCTTCCATCCCGTCGTTGAAGAAGAAAAAACGTGACTCATCGCTGAACCAAACGCGTCGCCAGTTCCTGAGATCCCATGCCTGTACTCTGTTGCACCACCGGACACGTCGTTGACGGTGTAGACGTTGCAAGACAGGTCCAACTTTTGGTCGTCTCGCTCGAATTCCCACTTCCCTCAGACGATTTCTGATGGTTTGGTCGGAAATTCTTCGCATACCAGGCACTTGTCCTGCAGTGTCCCTTGCTGTAGCAAATCGATTCCGAGGGTGATGCAACCGGATGTACCGATCCTGAGCAGGGGTGGTCACTCTGGGTCTTCCACTTCTGGGATGATCTTGAGTCGAATTAGTGCGGGTATATCGATCCCATATTCGAGATATGGTGCTTTGGTGAACGTTGAAGTGTCTTGCAACGGCAGACTGGGACTCCCCTGCTTCCAAACGTCCAATGGCGATAATTCGGGCAGCTGCAGTTAATCTTGGCATTTTTCGATCTCCGTTCACGTCAGAAAATTCGTAATGAACTGATGAATTTTGTACGGTCTTTTATAGTCAGCGTCTCTACTCTTGTTTCCAACACTTTGCACGTGCATTGTGCTAAAAACTTTTTCTGAAAGCAATTTCCGTGCATCCTCTGCATTTTTGCTGATAAACGTTTACAAAAAAAACATTTTGAGATGTGTTTGCGCGCAATGCACAACAAACATGACATGATTAACGGGAAACAAACATAAGAATTGTCTTTATGACGATTGCTGGGGGGAAAAATCTAATTGGAATTCTCAAAACACCTATGCATCTCTTTTTTTGAAGAGTGTATGTTAACGGAGTCTTACAACGTATCCGGGATTCGTTAGCTGATCCTGACGATTTAAAAAGGTGTCCCTGTACACGCCATTTCGCTGTCTAACTGCTGGGAAGAAAGTATACACTCATGTTTGATGGTGGCTTACAACGAAACAAACAAGAAATGGCTATTCTATGGCGATGTATTTTGTACGGGAAACAGTTGTTTTGGACCTTTCTTTTGCAGTGTTCTGGCAACTGTTTTCAACCTTTTAACATTTTGATAACGTTTGAAAAGAATTAATGAAATCCAATTTTCAAATGTATACTTTCTTTTCCCCGGCAGTTTAAGTGCGATACACTGAAAAAACCCAGCATTGGTTGAAAGCATGAACATTGACCCACCGTCTAAATACGCAGGCACTCCGAAGCAGGTAGTTAACAGTTAAGAGTTGTTTTCCGCAATCGTGACCAACCAATACCCAATGAGGGAGTAAGCCGGTTACGCCCCTTTCCGTATTCTTCCGCAATGTCCAATGGGTGACACAATATGTATAATAAATTATCCCATACGGCAAATTGAACGTGTGACGAGTCAAATCTTTGGCTGGACGACCCAAACACTTCAACCACAAGACTACCAAACCTCTTCCGCAGAGGGACCCTTCACCCTTGGGTATCCTCTCGCCCCTCTCAACAACGTACTGGGCCCTATGTCATCAAAGATAGACGAGAATCAATCGAATGGGCAAGAATTGAAAAAAAATGTCTACATTCACGAATGACACCCGGTGTTGGTGTAAATACCCGCCATAAGGTAGAACACGGTGTTCAGTTGACGTCAAAATCCAAGACATAGATTTTTCTCGAGTCAATCGTAGATGACAATACTCTTAAACAATTTGACACGTATCAATGGTATATTTTATGGAAAATGGAAACAAAAGTAGTTAAGAGCCTGACAATAAATATACGTCAACATTAGAGACTAACCAGTCTGGATAATCCGGTGATGTGAGGTGAAATGGGGTTTAACGTCGCGTCCTAGATTATCGTGTGTGTGTGTGGCTGCTTGTACTAATCCGGACTGATGCCGATTTATAGTGCTAGCTCACTGAGAGACCATGCCGCAGTTTAACATGAAAACCCAACTCAGACATAGTATACTGACTCCGAGCCGACCAGTCCTTGTTTTAGCCCCTTAATACCGAGCGCCAGGCAGGGTAACAACAAGTACCATCTTTTAACGTCTTTTGGTATGACGCGGTCGGGGATCGAACCCCGGACCTTTCGCTCTCCGGGCGGACGCTCTACCACTAGACCACGGAGGCGGTCTCTTGATAATCCGAGGAAACAGATACCACTGGACGTAAAAGGCAATCTTATATGAATAGATCACTGAAAATCAGTGATGACATCAGGCGTTCGCGAAAACAATAATCAAAACGATGTCTTTTACTCCTTCAGGAAGGTGCCAGTTACTGAGATAATTCTGTCCTACTGGGAGAATCTACAGGGGAGCTGCGAGATCCTGACGTGAGGAGCTCCAACTTGATAGATGAGATCAATGCATTTAATTACGAACACAAACTCAAAATAACATGCAGCTGAGTAGGGAAGCAAATAAAATAAACCCCACAATTACTTCAACATCTAAATTATTCTATCAGACATCAGCATGCAGCTCAAAATAAAGGTATAGACACTAAACATCACAATTACCAAATCAGTCTACCAGAAACCGTTTTCGATGACAACTGTATGACTGGCAGATCAATGGGAAACAAACAACCATTAATATCATATTGTTCCATAGATCGAACCATCACACAATCAATCTGCAGCTTAGCACTATGTACATGAGCACGGCTGGACTCAACTAGCAAGAGAGCGATTTCGGTTTAATTTGGCGTTGTCTGTGTGCATCCGTCCTTCATCAGATGAGAGTATTGAAAAATGAAGCCCTTTCACAATCGATGAAGCTATTTTTTTCGAACAATGCGTATGAATTATCTCAACGATCCATGAACAACATTGAACAACACCGGCCAGTAAAACTACTCTACGCAGACACACCGGTGTCCTTTGACGCCGTATTGTATCATAAGAAAGAGGTACTAATCCTTTTAATATTGTGAGATGTTGGTAAGCCGTGTATGGAATTACAATACATTTCATTACCTTTTTCAGACAAGTGCGTGAAGGAACAGCATTAACCTCTAAATAATTGCAGTTAAGCTTCAACCATGAATAAACACTGACATAAATTAGATTTGTAAATGCAAGAACTGCCATCAACAGTTGAGGGAGACGCAGTTCGCACATCCAGAACTTGTGACAATTATGAATATTTAATTGTAAACACATTCCTTGATTGAATTTCAATGTCGATTGTGTTTCCTTTTCTTCATCGTACAAATGTTTTTGAGAAGATTGAAAAGAAAGAAAATAGCATTGGTGTGAACGAATCATATGAATGACTTTCTGTGTAAATGTAAATCGTCAACGCCAGAAAATAACCAGGCTCGATTATAATTATCCGACGAAGTGTGAAAATCATCTATACCGTAAAACCGTACTCGTTTACAACATTCTAAAAGGACTTATGTGTTTTCAATTGTTACTGCCTCTTGGAAAAAGTGGGGCGGTCGGGTAGCCTATTGGTTAAAGTGTTCGCTCGGCTCGCCGAAGACTCTCGGTTCGATTCCCAACATGGGTACAATGTGTGAAGCCCATTTCTGGTGTCCCCCGCCGTGATATTGCTGGAATATTGCTAAAAGCGGCGTAAAACCATACTCAGTCACTTGGAATAAGCATATGTTATGAAACACTTCTCCCAATGCGTGCGTAAGACTTCCTTTCACCACCTCAGTGGAGTTTTGCCAAATGCGGTAATGTGGTTCTTAGTGTAATGACATTTCATCACAATGACAAGCATCCCTTGTTGCATACATGTATGTCTAGAAACCTTCAAGCGTATAGTGATTGAAGAGGTAGCTGGTTACAAGCATTTAAGACAGACGAAGTTTTGATAAAATGATAAAGTTTGTACAATTTATGCAGAGTTCAATGCATGTGTGCGTTGTCATAAATTTAATGCAAATTACACGAATACGCACGGAAATGTGCGATGGTGGATGACATATGTAGCCATTTATGAAAACAAACATTTTGGTTTATCTTGGCTGTGAGTTAATTATTACCCGTGCTCAATCCTGTCACATGACACTTGATATTATCTGGGGATTTTGCAAATGAATAAATTTATCGAACTGCTTATTTAATGCCATGCACATGTCTTCTTGCCTTGTAATGTTTTGGTCGTAAATGCAACCCATTTACAGAAGTAAACTCTTAAAAATCTAAATTCTGCCTTAAAGTATTCCGTGACATGTTTATACTAAAGTTTTATAAACTTACAGTTGAAACGCACTGCTCTTCCTTCGTCTTTTCCTTGCAATGGAGCGTCGTCTGGCGTTGCTACTTCTTTGATAATTTGATGTGCTGTCAAAGAAATCCTCCTCCTCATCGCCGATTTCATTGTCTTCATACACTGCTAAATGGCGAGACTTATTTTGATTTGTTTTCAAATTTTGATTATGCATATGAGTATTCACCTTTTCCGCAGTCCCTATAAATGAGGTAGGACTTAAACCATCTCCTTGCAGCTCCCCGTTTAACAGTTTGTTATTTTCAGCAATGTCGCGTTGTTGGGCCCGTTGGTGTAGAACCTGTCTCTTTAATGGTTTCAGCACACATTCTTTATAGCCACTAAAGATTGAGGACTTGTATTTGACACGTATCCCTGTCGTTTGGGGATGCTGATGCTGATGCTGTAACACCCTGTAGTCAGGGACGTCGCCGACAAAGAACGGATCCCTTCCTCGTCGAGGATGTTGTCTAGCACCATGTCCGAGGTACGGTTCAGGTTGAATGTTATTCATTTTAGCCTGGTGTCATGGCCTCTTGATACAGACACCAGAAGTATCAAGCATAACCTGAAAATAAATATTTTAATAACACACAAATCTACAATGAACATACCTGTATTTCTATTATTTGCTGCAGTTATTATTGTTCCAGAATTTCATTTCACCATAACTAAGTAATATATCTGCAATGCTATTTCTGTTCATATATGTACATTCACCGTTTCGAAGAAATATATATGAAATAATATCTGTGTATAATTAGAATGCAGGTTTCTAATCAGACAAATTGTACCAATACATTTAGGCAGACCCTAACACTCTAAATTACCTGTGATAGCTATGATTAACACTTGTCGAAGTAGGTAGCCAAATATACTGACTCTGTCATATAGTTTCAATAATTTACCCTCTCAAGATCCTCAGTCTGAGCCTATCTTGATAAACACTGATTTCGGAACAACCACAATCACATTGTTTGATAGGCATTATTTAGAAGTTGACGGATGACAAGGTAGACACAATTTTATGGATAACAACTTCTTTAATACTGTAAAAAGCAACGTTTCGGTATAGATCATCATAACGTCGCTTTTTACAGTATTAAAGAAGTCGTTATCCATACAATTGTATCTAATAAGCACAATCAACGTTTGTCTATTTCTACGTACCTTCCCAACAACACAACGCGTTTCTTACCGAGAGCCTTCCAGCAAGGTAGTGTGGATATATGCACATACACACATGGATATCCTTCTCATTCCCACACACGAACCAATCTGTTTTGACAACGCCGAACATCCGATGACATTATTTTTAAATGTTGTAAAAAATAACGAAAGTTAATTAATCCCCATCTATCTCCAACGAAGACTGTTCAAAACGTATTCGTTGTACTTAAGCCTTGATGTTCGCAAACCCTTCTATGTAAATAGCATGACCTGCATGTATACACGCATGTGAACAAAACAGTTAAAGAGCTCATTGTAGTCAGAGCGTGTTATCGAACACATGTCATTATACCAAATCACATGCCCAAGGACAACCTCAAAAGCATGATAAAAAACTTACCCCTGGAGTTTTTTTCCCTACGAAATGTTTGTGCGAGTAAAACACGTGTGCAACCGCAACAATGGAAGTGTCGTTGGTAGTGGAGTCTGTACACACAGTCCGCTGTCAAACGTCATGGGGATAATAACACAGCGGACTATCGTGAAATGTTTAATTATTACTCACACTAACAATGCTCTTTCCCTTGCGGACATGACGATACGATGCACATCAGTAACTCTAACAGAAATCGCTATGTGATTCATCGAACGTTTGAAAGCGACCCTGTACACCTTTAAGAGCCTCTGACGCACAATACGATCTTTGTATAATAATTATTCATATCAAATCACTGAACAAATACAGTTCAGCTTTTGTATTCTCGCAGCGTATTGTCGTTATGATGGGCCTGTATCATGTATGTCCCATACGACAAGACATACAGAGATACACACTCGGGATGATTGTATCTACACCTACTCTGAATCACGGACGTGTCTACAGAAACTAAATGCCAAAGATCCCGTGTGGTTTTCAGATATTTGGTTCATTCATGCAGAAATACAATCCGCATGCACTAAATCAACCGTGCTAGAGTATTGTCATTATACGAATATGAATAATGTATGTGATGGTTCGTATTAAGCTCTAAGTCTATTGGTCTAATTGTCGCACATTGTGTACATATCTCATCTGAAGTAGTAAGGGTGAGTGATAGTGGATAGGAGCATTATATCGACCACAGAGAGTATTAATGTAGATGCGTCAATAATTCCTTTTATCGGTTTGAAGATATGTCTTTAAAGGTTCCTAGGTTTGGTACATTTGAAGTTCTTGAGACTTGGATTCAAGTCCCTCTAAAAGACCTCAGTTATTCGACTGATACAATGTCTTGGTTCACACAGGTTACTTATTACATCTTCAGGTTTGTTTGGTATGTTTGTTGTTTAACGCCGCACTCAGCAATATTCCATCTGTATATATGACGGCGGCCTGCAAATAATCGAGTCTGGACCAGACAATCCAGTGATTGATATCCAAGCCGTCGGCGTTCGATGACACGCCATCAACCAGGTCATCGAGCCTCCACTACCAGAGCCTTTTAGTCGCCTCTTACGGTGAGTGAGTAAGTTGGGTTTAACGCCGCTTTTAACAGTATTCCAGTTATATCGCGGCGTGTCAGCTTAATGTGGGAGGAAAGCCCGAAGTGATGCAGGTGTCAGACGTTTACCACTTCGGTGAACCCCACGAGCACGGGTATGGTGCTGACAAACCTAGAAACATAATCGGGGCGAACCGGGATTCGAACCCACAATCATAGGTTTCTGGCGTGCCCAAGGGACGCAACTCTGCACAGCGAATCGCGGCGCCTTAGACGACTGGGCCACCCGTGCCCCCATCCCCCCGTGCCCCCCCCCCTATTCCAGCTACATCACGGCGGGCTGTAAATAAACGTGTCCGGGCCAGGCAGACTGGTGGTTGATAGCATGAGCAATGATTACTCATCGATCCCTATATGTCGTTCGGAACGACAAGTACGAGGCACTGACTCGCGTGTTCTATTCCAACAAAGGGACTTAACATAGTGATGTATGCAGTGCGGAAGGACATGTTTATTTGGTTGTTAAAGTAAAATTAATAATGGCTTACATATAGAGTTTGTGATTTTCGGGGGTAGGCTTTCGGTGGACTTTACCACTTCGATTCCAAAATAGGATTAACAGCCAAAGAAAACCGCCACAGAACAAAAATACGCCATGATGTCATGACGCTCAGAAACGACAAGATGTATAAAACACCCACAACAAAATACAGTAGCGCCACTCTGTTATTTTGCATTCGGAATTCCTCGAATAAACAGAAATTCGAGGCGCAAAAAATCGAATATGCTGTCTGAATACTTCGCTCACTCGTACCATGAATTCAAAAGCCTCGACGTTGATTGGCTGGACAGAAAGTTCACCTGATACGACCTCCTGTGAAGGAACTCGATGGAGGTGTTCTCAGCCCTTCACGCAACGAGGTATCGAGTCGGTGTAATATGTCTCATTTTAAATAGATTGATTTATTGCTCCCGTTGACTTCTCTATTACGGCCTCTACTGATTAACACCGTAGAAGACCCGTGAAGATCCGGGGTAGAATAGGTCTTCAGCAACCTATGCTTGCCGTGAAAGGCGACTATGCTTGTCGTAAGAGGAACGGGATCGTGAGTCATCTTATCCCAGTTGCGTGGACCGATGCTCATGATATCAATCACTGGATTGTCACGTCCAGACTCGATTATTTACAGACCGCCGTCATATAGCTGGAATATTGCGTTAGTGTGGCGGGAGTGTGGCGTTAGACAACCACTCAGACAAACAGTGTAGAACTTTTTCAATTATGTACGTTCTTCATTGATACAGCCCTTAAAGCTGCCCCGTTCCATTACCTTGCGACTCGTCGCGCTAGAGTCTGTAATGAATGTAACCTCGATCAGTTGTATCATTGTAATGATTAGTATTTGTAATTTAACACTGGATTTGTAGCTTGAGCCACTGACGCCATGTTCCTTTGAGATATTCGTTCTAAAACATTAAGTAACATTAGCCATTTCTACATTAAAATGTAATTGATGACCTGATAAGTATCATAAAACCAATTAACTTGTTTCCTGTTACTGTGTATGAATCTACTGTAGTTCTTCATATGTTTTTTAAATAACATTATTGTAGTTTGTAGTTTGTTGATCAGTATTGGTTATTGGGATTGTCCATTGCAATTATAAGTTTTAACCTTGTAAAAGTAAACCCGAAACAGTGCTGTGATGTTTATTAAAGGTAATCAAGCAAGCACCAAGTAAACCCGCATCACCCCGCATGGTACAAGCATAATGACGTAGTAGTTCAGGTGTACTTGCGTCACACATGGTTCTACACGCATGTATAGTGAAATGAATTGTAGTGAGTGAGTGAGTGAGTAGGCTGTAACACCGCTTTTATCAATATTCCAGCAGTATCACAGCGGGGGACACCAGAAATGGGCTTCACTCATTGTACCCATGTCGGGTATATATTGTGATAAAACGGGTCTTACATCACGATATGCATCAAATCACGTGAGCACCATGATTAAAAACATGAAAAGGTAAGGAAAATATTTGTTGACAACGAGTTGGCGGTGCAGATGCTTTGCAAATCCTGCAATCGACCGAAATCTGTATGACTGTTTCCGAACCGGATTTCGTTTTCGTTGCGCGATTTTGATTGGACTATGCATAGACTCGTTACTCCAGCCAAATTGTAACTCCATAATACCAGCCTAGTTCGGCAAGGGTGGAAACTGGACTTTTATAGTCAGTTAACACACTTGCCTCGGGAAGATGATATAAGAGTGGTTTAAATGGAATGTGAAAAGTCAAATATATAATTCAACATTCACGAATTATGATATTTCTATGACACCCAGTGTTTACGAACCGATTGGTCATGGCTTGTTTAATACGTAATCTATCAGGGTCACAATAATGCTTAGTCCCACTGTGGCAAAGTATCTCAGCTAAATTTACCAAAACAACTATCGCTCTTTGTTGAAGTTATTTGAAGTGATTGTATCTAGTGACACTGAGTGAGTGAGTGAGTGAGTGAGTGAGTGAGTTTGGTTTTACGCCGCTTTTAGCAATATTCCAGCAATATCACGGCGGGGGACACAAGAAATGGGCTTCACACATTGTACCATGTCGGGAATCGAACTCTAGTGACACTAGTGGAGCAGGGGGCGGTCGGGTAGCCTAGTGGTTAAAGCGTTCGCTCGTCAAGCCGAAGACCCGGGTTCGATTCCCGACATGGGTACAATGTGTGAAGCCCATTTCTGGTGTCCCCCGCCGTGATATTGCTGGAATATTGCTAAAAGCGGCGTAAAACCAAACTCACTCACTCACTAGTGGAGCAGAGGACGCTCACCTTTTTGCGAACACTTGGTGTCATCACTTTTTTGTTGTGATTCATAAACACACGCTTATATAGTCGAAATGGTACAATGGACTCTGCTTTTAAAAGACATAGTTAATATATATATAATAAAATAATAAAGTCCACGTTAGTCCATCATCTTCTTTATATCAGTTTCAGACATAGTACTTTCGCTGTATTACATGTACACCGAGTGACCATTTAACTCACATACATACATACATACATACATACATACATACATACATACATACATACATACATACATACATACATACATACACACACACACACACACACACACACACACACACACACACACACACACACACACACACACACACACACACACACACACACACACACACACACACACACACATACACACACACATACATACACACACACACACATACATACACACACACACACACACACACACACATACATACACACACACACATACATACATACACACACACACACATACACACATACAATACATACAATACATACATACATACATACATACATACATACATACATACATACATACATACAATCATGGAAAGAGTGACGTGCCTTATAGTGTGTATTGTCACCCAGAACTCATTGGAGATTTGATTTCAATCATTATGTATTGTCCGATACAACTGACCATTCAACTGTGCGTTAACAATTAACCTGTCAATATGTCCCAAGGCAAACAAATACCATCTTTGACCAGACTGTGTGACCATTGACCCAGTTCAGACTGACGGGTGACGCTTGCTACAGACAATGGTATGTTTTCTTTGTAGAGGTTTTTGTTCGACACATTGTTATTTGCTTTGAATATTTTCGGAGAAGCTTAACTAGTTAAATTTTGAATAAAACCTTCAATGAATCCACCTTCAGCGTCAATACAAGATAGATACAAAACCATCCAAAATATAAATATTGCAAAAATAGCATAAAACTGCGTAACATGTACCAATTGTTAATTACATGTTGACCGAAACTGGCTGAGTAATAGCTGATGTGGCGGCCATATTGAAAACAGGATTCGAACCTCTTCGAACTCATTTAGGTGTCATCGTTGGTGAGAACAAGAATGTGAAGTATACCGAGACGTCAGTTATATCTCCAGTCATTACATATCCTTCAGATTGGATGAGTGAGTGAGTTTGATTTTTACGCCGCTTTTAGCAATATTCCAGCAACATCACGGCGGTGAACACCAGAAATGGGCTTTACACATTGTAGCCATGGCGGGAATCGAACCCGGGTCTATGGCGTGACGAGCGGACGTTTTAACCACTAGGCTACAGTGGCAAGTTATTTCTGTGTGGACAGCCTCCGTGGTCTAGTGGATAGAGCGTCTGCGCACGCGCGCACGCACGCACGCACGCACGCACGCACACGCACACACACACACACACACACACACACACACGTTAAACAACTAATCTGTACAAAACACGGTTAAGCACGTTTGTACTCAAGAGTCATTTCATTGTCATTTACATAATCGATCTATCATCTTACAAGCGTTGTTTTCATCACAAAAGCCATATTTGAACGTGAATACATTTCCTTAACATATGTTTATTTGTGGCAGTACCGCTATACCTCTGAGAAATCACACCCCGGCCCGGGATGGGAGTTAAAAGGATTTGCACCGCGCATTACTCCGTCCCTGACATATCATGTTTATGTTGATGTGGTTTTTATGCAAAACGGGAAAAATGTTTAAATTAATAATCAGTACCTTCGATGACTCTTTGGACATTCACCAGCATAACGTCCTGCATTTGGTGCAGCAGATTATTGCCTTTGTTGCAGATACGCACTGAATCCCACTGCATCTCCATATTATAACTATCAGCGTGATACACTGCCTCGTATCTAACGTCGCTGAGACCATGCCGGGGGAGTGTGAGGACGTCCCTGAAGTGGACGTGAGCAACAGCTCCACCTCAGTGTTGTTGTTTAACGCCGCACTCAGCAATATTCCAGCTACATGACGGTGGTCTGTAAATAATCGAGTGTTAACAAGACAATCCAGTGATTGACATCGTGAGCATCGATCTACGAAGTTGGGATATTAAGTTGACGACACAATTGCCTAAGGCACCGCAATTTGATGTGTGTCTCTTGGCCGTACCAGAAACCTAGGATCATGCTGGACAATGTGTCTAGATTTGTCAGCACCATACCCGTGCTCGTGGTTTCACCAAAATGGTATATGCCTGAGACTTGCATCACTTCGGGCTTTCCTCCCACATAACGCTGACACGCCGTGATATATCCCCGTGTTATTGATTTTCGGAAGCATAAGAAACATTCGTGGGTTTTCTCTCTATTCACATGGACAACTGTAAACCCATCTCATTCACTTATAAAAGACGACCTTCTTTTAAAAAGAAGCCAGCATCGAAATATTTACAATGTCTGTGTGATGCTACACTCCCCGTTATAGCGCGAATACTTCCGAAAATGTGTGATGTCCGAAAGCCTATGAAAGGGAGATAACTGGAATACTGTTCAAGGCGGCGTAAAACCAAACTCACTCTTTCCAAATGTAGATGACCAATAACTACGCAATAGTACCAGGTGGATACCAGTTCAGTATCAGTCGACCATAATTCTCCAAGTGCATGTATCCCCGTAGAATTACACCAGTTCACAGTTAACGCATTAGCACAACGTCTTGAAGATTTTATTCCTTCTCACCAACTGTACCCCCGTCGATACAATCAGTGTTCAAGCTGTCGTGGCGCGTTTTATAAGGTAAGAATTGCTCACAATGGGCCACGATAAGTGCAAGCTGTGGACTACGATCAATGGAGCTGCATTCGTAGCCCACGATGAAACGCCATGGTCACGTCTCCCAACTGACTTTCCAGTCGGACCCCACACGCCAGACACACAGTTGACCACAACATCAGGTGAGACGGGTAGCTGGTTTGTAGTGATATATGTTACCAAACATTTGATGGGGTTATTTGGACATGGAACTGACGCATGTTAAGCTTCGTGTCAAGTAATGATAACAAAGGTAAACATAAGAATGAGAATATATGGATGTTAACAATGTGCTCTCTGCCGCATGGCATTCATTCACCTGATGAAGGAGTAAGCATATACTCCGAAACGTTGAGGTGAAATGGGGTTTAACGTCGCGTCCAAGATTATTGCACTTATATAGCGTGACTGCTTGTACTAGCGCTGACTGATGCCGATTTATAGTGCTAGCCCACTGAGATACCATGCCGCAGTTTAACATGAATACCCCACTCAGACACAGTTTACTGATTCCGAACCGACCAGTCCTTGTTTTAGCCCTTTAATGCCGAGCGCCAGACAGGATAACAACAAGTACCATCTTTTAACGTCTTTTGGTATGACGCGGTCGGGGATCGAACCCCGGACCTTCCGCTCTCCGGGCTCTACCACTAGACCACGAAGGCAGTCTCTTCATAATAAGAAGTTGACATCCATATATTCTCTTCCTTATGTGAATCACTTCTAAATGCCTTTGAAAGACCTGAAAAGTAAACACGTGAGCGTGCGTGGGAAGTTTTACAGGATTTCCGTAATATCGGAATATGTATTGCATAGTTACCAGCGGGTGTTTGTGTTGTGACACTGAATGGGAAGAAGTTAAGCCCCTATCTCACATACACGATTTAAGAAACTGCGAACACGATCTAAGAAAAGTTGAAAAATCGAGTTGATTCGTGCTCGACCTTGTGGTTTATGCAAATTTCTTAACCAAACACGACCCTCATACGACCCTCATACGACCTTCATACGACTGAACACGACTGTCATACGACCTTCATACGACTGAACACGACTTTTCAGCTCGGCTTAAATCGTGTTATAAAGTTTTGCTAAGCAAAGCAAAAATTTATAACACGATTTAAGCCGAGCTGCGACGTCCATACGACCGCCAACGACTTAACACGAATGAACACGAATGAGTGCGCGACCCTCATACGTTCTAACAAGATTTAAGGAAACACGTTAATCGTGTTCATTCGTGTTCAGATTCGTGAATGTGAGATGGGGGCTTTACTCGTTGTTAAATCCAAGTGTCACTTCTCTCACAAAACAACAAATTGAGTCCTGATTCTGAACAACACTACGCAAGTCCTGAGCAGGGAACTGTGCTAGCTCGCACGCTTTCGAAAGTCGGGAGATAACAACGTACAAGAATGTTTACTTTTGGTTTTTATGAAATCAAGTTTAACATGTATCAGGTGCAGCCCAAATCGCATCCTACAGGTACGACATCTCAAACCAACCAGTCAGATGTATCTCCCACCTGGACACTCAGAGTAGCCCCAGCCAATGTTGAGTAGTATAGAATATCCTAGCGTTAGTGTATGGTGTTGTCATTGCCAGCGTGGTATTCATATACCTATATCTTATACAGGTAAGACTGGCAAGACGTGACACATTCGCACACTAACTGCCATACGATTGGTGACATCTGGGTGAAATTAGCCCGGCACTCCTTCGTACGACAGTTTATTACTTAGAAAACTGACATGATGACGAGTTAAACTACATCTCTTCTGTCAATACTTCTCCCTTGACGTGTGTCCTTGTACCCCGACGACGTGTGTCCTTGTACCTCGAAGGCGTGTATCATTGTACCCCAATGACGTATGTCCTTGTTCCTCGCAGACGTGTGCCCTTGTACCTCGATCACGTGTGCCCTTGTACCCCGATCACGTGTGTCCTTGTACCCCGATCACGTGTGTCCTTGTACCCCGATGAATTCTGTCCTTTTACCCCGATGGCGTGTGTCCTGGTATGTCGATGAAATGTGTCCTTGTACCCCCAAGACGTGTGTCCTGGTATATCGATGAAGTGTTTCCTTGTACCCCCATGACGTGTGTCCTTTTACCCCGATGACGTGTGTCCTGGTATATCGATGAGTGAGTGAGTGAGTTTGGTTTAACGCCGCTTTTAACAGTATTCCAGTTATATCACGGCGTGTCAGCATGATGTGGGGGGAAAGCCCGAAGTGATGCAGGTCTCAGACATTTACCACTTCGGTGAAACCCACGAGCACGGGTATGGTGCTGACAAACCTAGAAACATAATTGGGGCGAACCGGGATTCGAACCCACAATCATAGGTTTCTGGCGTGCCCAAAAGACGCAACTCTGCACAGCGAATCGCGGCGCCTTAAACGACTGGGCCACCCGTGCCCCCGGTATATCGATGACATGTTTTATTGTACCCCGATGACGTGTGTCCTTTTACCCCGATGACGTGTGTCCTTTTACCCCGATGACGTGTTTCCTGGTATATCGATGACGTGTGTCCTGGTATATCGATGACATGTGTAATTGTACCCCGATTACGTGTGTCCTTGTTCCACGCAGACGTGTGTCCTTGTACCCCCATGACGTGTATACTTGTACCCCAATGACGTGTGTCCTTGTACCCAAATGACGTGTGTCCTTTTACCCCGATGACGTGTTTCCTGGTATATCGATGACATGTGTAATTGTACCCCGATTATGTGTGTCCTTGTACCCCGATTATGTGTGTCCTTGTACCCCGATGACGTGTATACTTGTACCTCGACGTGTGTCCTTGTACCCCGATGACGTGTGCCCTTGTACCCCGATGACGTGTGTCCTTGTACCCCGAAGACGTGTATACTTGTACCTCGACGTGTGTCCTTGTACTCTCGTGACTTGTGTCATTGTACACCGACAACCGTGCTTTTGTACCCCGACGAGGTGTATTCTTCTTGTATCAGTTAGACAACGTATTCCTGTCACATATATCAAGGAGTGTTGCATCGGTTGCCGTGTGGACAACGTATTCCTGTCACATATATCAAGAGTTGTTGTATCAGTTGCAGTGTGTGGGGCAACGTATTCCCGTCACATAAATCAAGGAGTGTTGTATTTGTTACAGAATGTGGAACAGCATATTCCTGTTGGTCGCAATCTCGCAGGGACTGACTGCAACAGAGCATCATGCAAACCCTGGAAGCGTAGACAGGAAATCCTTATCCGCAGAGAATGCATTTCAAATCCTGGAGGACGCCCACAGATTGAACCAGACCGAATCTCACAATGAAGCTCTGCAGGTGATCCTTCTCAATGGAGATGTCAGTCTCGCTTCCTCTGGTGCAAGGGACATTTGTTACGAAAGTTGGTTCGAAGTGGTCAGCTCGGAGTATCTAGCGGCCACACCTGAGCAGGTGTTTAACGCGGCACTCACCTGGGCCGCGGCGGAATGCGGGCGAAGGTCCATGGAAGCATCTCCTGCTAACATGCGTGCTGTTCTGAGTAAATCTTTATATGAAATCAGATTTGCCAAAATGAACCAGTCATTTCTTCTCAAAAGTGTGTTTCCTTCAGAGGTTTTGACTCATGTGGAACAGATGGCTGTACACGATATGGTTAGTTGTGAAAGTAGTATCTTCCCCTTCCAAGATAGACGTGACCCACTGATGGACGTTTTCCTCCACAAATCTCACAAAGACCCTGGGTTTTATCTCTGCCCGTCTTCTGATGGGATTGATGGGGAGACATGGGAGAGTACGGAGTTCAATACGGATGACAGGACATTGGAGTGTAGTAAGGATGTGTGGATGTATGGAATATACACATGGGGAGCTTTCGAGGAGGGGAGACAACCCCGGGAATACGTCGTGTGGATACGCAAGAGTGGAGGAGAAACCCTTATCTGGGAAACCCTCCTGCCAACAAACACTTCAAGAAATCCTTACTCTGACACCACATCCGAACTGTACTTTGATAATCCAATCAGATTACAAAAGCACGTGTCATATGATATTGATATTACGTTGATAAGCGGGGAGTTACCAGAATTTTGTGGCGAGGGCCTTATCTACGAAGCAAAGATGAAACAGTTTGAATTTAAGCTATCGTTCCAAGCGAAAGCCAGGGGTTGTTGTCAAACAGCAGGGTATATATTGGGTAGAAAGAGGAGTTCTGGTTTCGGTTGTAACTGACAGTGTAAATGTGTATGTTTAGTTTCACACTGAGTTTCTTAGCCAGTGATTAAAACATTTAAAACTTCGAATAAAGTGTTATTTTAAGCCATCATGATTCAGAGAAGTAAACAAATGAAATGTTCTTCCTTAGATATCCTGACGACCGGGGTAGAATAGATCTTCAGCAACCCATGCTTGCTGTCAAAAGCGATTATGCTTGTAGCCAAGTTACTCGGAATAAATGGAACACGTCCCGGTTGTGTGCACGGATTGACAATTAACATTAGATTCCCCGATCACCAGATCCGAACATTTTGAAAGCATCAGTGCCCTAATAATAATAATGAATCAGCTGGTATTAATGACATCCTCAGTGAATACTAGTATCTCAAACATTCGTCTGCTGTTATAATACTGTATATAGAAATCATATTTAACAACATTTATTCAAATGGTGTTTTCCTGGAATGCTGGTCTACTGGGATAATCATCCCTTTGCGTAAGAAAGGAGAAGCATCTGTTCCAGTAAAGGACCATAAGCCTCCTGAGTATCATCTGTGAAGTTTTCACATCAATTTAAACAAAAGTGAGTGAGTGAGTATGGTTAGCAATATTCCAGCAATATCACGGCGGGGGACACCAGAAATGGGCTTCACACATTGTACCCATGTCGGGAATCGAACCCGGGTCTTCGGCGTGACGAGCGAACGCTTTAACCACTAGGCTACCCGACCGCCCCTTTAAACAAAAGACTATTTAGGGATGCAATGCTTGAAAGCGTTTTTTAATGTAAAGTTATCGACTTCAAATAATGGGGTGTTAGGCGTGTGTGGTAGATATTCTATTCAGTTGCCTGCGGGTTTGAAATGTGTCAAATATTGGCTGTCTCTTATTAATATGCAGGAATTTTGTTTACCTTATAGGTTACATTTGTACGATGAAGGAGGCAACGTAAATTGGGTAGCGAAACTGGAAACTGTTTTTTTTAGATTAGGATTTGATGATTTGACATGGTAATCAAACCGTATGTATATACATGTTACGACAGCGGTTAAAAGACAACCTTTTACATGTAACTTACCTGTCAATTCCCAAATGGCTTATTAATTTACAGTTTAAAGCATCCATTTCATGTGATTGGTATTACTGTAAATATATGAAGGGCCATATTGACTCGTTTTCGACTTTGCTCTCACAATTATTAATCTGAACGTGGTCGAAATTTTAAGATTCCTCGTGAATTTAGAAAAGTTAACTTAAACCATATCGAAGATAAATATTACCTTTTGTTAATTTATCCAGCTTATGGCCATCTTAGGCAAAGTTACATAAAACCTAAATTTTACATCAAGTTTAATACACTGTCATCGTAAGCGTCTGTTATAAACATCAATACAGCAAAGTACTTGCTTCATGCTGTTACAGCACAAATAAAAGAAACCATAATATATGTTGTATTCAATATTGTATTCTCAACATCATTTGTAAAGCGTCATGGTACTGGGAATATAAAACTAACATTTCAGCTTGAAAGCTTTGTCATACATACATGATACAGGAGGTGCCAGCTCAATAGCTCTGTAGGCAATGATCGATCAACAGATCGACCGCTCACACTTAAATGAACCAGTAACATCTAGAGTGAGTGAGTGAGTATGGTTTTACGCCGCTTTTAGCAATATTCCAGCAATATCACGGCGGGGGACATCAGAAATGGGCTTCACACATTGTACCCATGTCGGGAATCGACCCCGGGTCTTCGGCGTGACGAGCGAACGCTTTAACCACTAGGCTACCCGACCACCCCAGTAACATCTAGAGACATCAATAGAAATGCATAGTTCTTCTTGGTGTTTAGCAAACCAAGGGATTCAAATTTAAAATTGCAGTGAGTAATATTTGGAAGATAATGTAGATGTAATACCGTATTCGACGTAATAAGCGCCCCGCTCTAATATGCGCCCACGGCGATATTTGCTTATATATTGGCAAGTGAACAATCCCAATTAGCATCCCTTCCCATTGATCAATGTACACAAGACTTATTTCTTCGTGTATAATACGCACTCGTGTGTTATATGCACCCTCAATTATGGGCAATTAAATTCTGGAAAAATATATCTGTCGTATATAAACAGTTCAGACCGTCAGCATAAACCACGAAATTTATCTTTCAACTGTTTTTTTCCACCAAAATAATATTCTAATAAGAACCCCCTATTTTTAATTTTGAGCGCGCCCTGGGCGCTTATTACGTCGAATACGGTAATACCCAGGTGTAGAGTATGTCTTAGGATATATTGCCATAAATGTTTTCGAGGAAACATACACAGAACCAAGCTGAAGAATTATGTCCATGTTTACATTATATGAAGCCAAAACCCGTGACCCTTATCTTCCAGGGACAGTTCAGTGTGTTTGTCCCTGTAGGCATTGTGATAGTTTTAAACCCTTACCCTGGGACATGGGTTAGAACATGTCCCCAGCTCCGCGTGTCCTAAGAGACGACTATAAATCGATCGGGTGCACATGCTGGTGACGTGGTTATTGTGTTTACTAGGTAAATAATAAAGACGGACCCAGATAGACGTGCGTTTGATATTATGATATCATGTACCGACAAGTACGATGACACGCAATCAATAATAATAATAATAATAATAATAATAATAATAATAATAATAATAATTAAAAAAAAACAAAAACCGATTCTGCTTGTCGAATCCTTTTCTAATGATATCGGCATGTCCTTTGGACTTGACAAATGCAACATTCTTCATCTGAAATGTGGCAAGGTAGAAGAGAGTGGGTAAGTCAGTATATTTGGAGGAGGTGTTATTGACCATCTCATGGAAGGTCAGGCCTATACGTACTTAGGAATGCAGGTTAGGGACAAACTCCAGAATGCCCCTATCAAAGAGAAGACTTCGGGCAGAGTACAAATGCAGACTTAAGAAAATATGGAGTTCAGAGCTGGACGCTAGCAATAAAGTCAAATCAACAAATACTTATGCTGTACCCGTCCTTTTGTATTCTTTTGGTGTTGTTAATTGGACGAAACAAGATATTCAGGGTATTGACACCCTCACATGTGCGAAGAATCATGTCAGACAATAGATCCCACCATACTCGCTCTTCCCTCAATCGCTTATATTTACCAATCATAATTAAGCATGTCAAGACTCATGATGAAAAAAGGCATTCCACAGTTTTCTAAACCGAGCCAAGAATGTGGGACATAATTTCAATGTCAGTGTTGATTTTGTTGATGGTTCTGTACTGCTGGACGGTACAGAAATGAGTCGGCTGTGTCAATCAAGCGAAGTGCCATATCAAATCGGCCCAGACTCAGTTTTTCAAGGAGCGGCTATCTGAATGACAACTGCATCGAGTTTATGTGCAGTGTGCTGAGAAGGTAAGCAATCCTGCAGAGTCCTTCGCTTGGATGAGGTCGGCTGGTCTGAAAAGTGAAACAGAAGGCTTTCTATTTGCTGCTCAGGGCCAGTCACTTCCCACTCGAAACCGTCAATGTGTGATTTTGTTGGGTTTAACGCCGCTTTTAACACTATTCCAGTTATATCGCGACGTGTCAGCTTAATGTGGGAGGAAAGCCCGAAGTGATGCAGGTCTCAGACGTTTACCACTTCGGTGAAACCCACGAGCACGGGTATGGTGCTGACAAACCTAGAAACATAATCGGGGCAAACCGGGATCATAGGTTTCTGGCGTACCCAAGGGACGCAACTCTGCACAACGAATCGCGGCGCCTTCGACGACTGGGCCACCCGTGCCCCCAGGTCCTCTACAAAATATCGTAGTTTGTTCTTTGTGGAAAATTCTAGATTTAATTAAATCCAGCCACCAACCCGTTTCCCAGAACTAACGGTCTACATAAATTAGATGTGGCCTTATCTGTTTTGACGAAAATGCTCTGTGATTATTTTTTATAACTGTAATTGAATGCCCTAATACATTTTTCACGGGATTTCAGAGAAACTTTCATTTTTAAAAAAAATACTTAATATTCAGGGCTTCGTATGAAACTTCCATGAAGGAATTCTAATGTGGTACATAGGTTTCGCCCTATTTGAGGCATTGCGCCAGGAATCACGTTTAAAAGGTCAGCAATGTTCTAGCTATATCACGGCCACCCGTAATGACCAAGTCGGTGCAAGTGGTTACCGTCGTATCATGTTTGTCTGTTTGTTGTTTATCGCCGTATCAAGTATGCCGGCAGAAAGAGTCACATCAACAGCCGTCGATATCGTTCTACGATGACGCGCACTCAACCAAGTCCCTAATCCCGATCCACTATGGTCGCCTCTCAGGCAAACATATGTTGTTTGGGATCAGTTAACACCCAACATCCCATGGGTATCATTTTCATGGGAGAACATTAATCTTTCAAATGATTGAACACTATAAATATCGATTTGTCTGTTTAGTAGTTTCCAAGAAAGGTTTTGAATTGCTCTTTGCAAGAACACGTACATTAACAGAATACATATGTCATATATGCACTATTAGGTTCCAATTTTCTTTGTATGTACGTCAGTTAACATACAGACACACACTGAATGCATGATAGGTGCAACATATTCCTTTGGGGGAATCATCTTTCGGATAACGAATAAGAGGGCTCAGCATGCAGTTTTATAGACTGCAGGTGAGAGGTACATTTGAATAACTTCGGGACACAGCATAATGTTCTAGTCACTAATATCTGACTATATTTTGACTACACCCTGATAAAAAGAACTCTATCGGTCCCATTTGTAACCGTTGATAAATACTGTTACCAAAGAAACATAATTATATTGTTCACAGCGTATGGTTTAACATTAATCGCTTTGCTTCTACGTAGATATTGTAACAGAAATTCCTGTTCTGGCAAGGTTAACAGGTACTTCAAAGATCACACTTCCAGCCTTTTATGACAGTGGAACAACTCCCAGCCTTCACACTATTTTCAACTATTGTACCAGCATCATGTTGTATGTTATAAGGATGACATACCTTTAAGCAGCGTTTTTCCAAGTTACAGAATCAAGTATAACAGTAAATTCCAACTTGAGTCACGTCAGTCATGTTCACAGTCGCCGTCTTGGATTTTCTGACGTCACGGTTGCGTATCATGTCACCTTAAGTCACCTATAAAGAGTCCTGTCAAGGTTAACTTCGGAGCGGCAAGTTTGACTTTGACAAGCAAGGTAGGGTTCAAGGGTTACGTCACAGCTAAATTATGTTTTTCGCATTCTAAGAGATTTTTAATGTATTGCTTTTAATTTAAATGGCCAATATTAATACTTGGTCTGC